TAGTTACACTTACAACAAACATATAACAAATAGTATTAATAAAAAGACTTGTAGTTTGTCATGTTTATGAGAAATACCAGTGTTAAGTAGCTCCCCTTCGATCGTTGGTGCGATGGTTAAATCAATATACACGGAGTCCATAGTTAGGTTATAAATTAATTCCTCCCAAAACTTTATTCTCTCTGGGAAGAATACATTCTCCACGGTTATATTAGTACTTTTCCCGTCTCCAAATCTCAGGAACTCGTGAGAATCTTTGTAATTTGGCCAGGGTGTCACTCTCCATGCTTCTGGTACTCTGTTAATTTGAATAATTGAACAACAATTGTCGTTAATATTTGACAAACAGATTCTTCTTTATGGTATTATTTTTTAAATAAAATTTTACGTTCTTCAATGTGAACCTTAGAAAACCCAAGCTGTTGCAAGGTTTAATTTAATGTCAATTAAAAAAAAAAAGAATAAACACAATATCTAATTCGTTTGTATGCAGTAATTAACGACAATTATTTTTTGACATGAAAATAGAGTATCAGTGGTCTACGCAAGTATTTTATAAAGATAATTGAAGTTTAAAATTTTGTGGACATTTGTTGACACTCTCTTATGCCGCCTAAAAATGAAAGTTAAGAATAAAGAAGTATAGAACGGAGTAAATATATTTACAGTATTAATTTTCGAAATATTAAAGTACCAATTTTTAAAGTATTCAAAATATTTAATACTTCACTTCTTGATGGAAGCATAAACTAAACGAATGTAACGTGAATTAGGTTTGAAATATTAAAAATAAATACTGATTTTAATTTTTCTAATTTAAATCAAATTAATGTAAAGTATTTCGTTTTTTTGGAATTCGTACGAAGAATTATATTTAAAAAATAATGATGTTTCTTGAAATTGAATGTTTATGAAATAAAGAATGTAATATGAACATGCTTCATAATATTATAAACAATTAAAAAACCGCTTCGTTTCAGTTAAATGAAATGAATGTAAAATATTTACTTGAAGGAGAAATCATGTAAAAGAACAATTTTGGAATGAAATATTATTATAAAAACACTGAATGAACAATTTATACCCTTTGGCTGCAAAGTTGGCCCACATTTCAGTCATTATATTTATCATAGTTATATCACTTTCACTATTATGTAACATCTGATCCTTGAATTGCAGGTTCAATACTGGAAGCAAGTAATTCAAATCATCAACATGCGAGACGCCTGAAAACATAAAATATTCCATGATTATAATGACATTCATTTGTATCTAACAATAAATAATTAATACGCGGTCGTTCATTCAAATATTCTCATAATTCTTCAGAAATGAAACAGTGAGGTGATGAAATAAACTAATAATTTTCTCCAAATAATAACATTTTCAATAATTATCAGTTACTATCCAGAAATGTAACATTATATTAATAATTATAGGTAGACTTCTATGAAAATCTCATTTTAAAGAATGTAATAATTTTTCTCACAAAATGAACGAAAAAAGAAACCAAATTATATTTCCATACGTTAATTGAAGATATTAACGATTTATCGAACATCGATCGATTCACCTGATAATTAATAATCATTTGACAATTCTACATTAATTTATTTATTCAGCACTACGTAGTTATTAAATAAATAATAAAGTTATTATTAGTGTATTATAACTATGTCACATACTTTAATTGTCTTTTAACTATAAATCAGAAAATATAAAGTTTGGACAGAAAATAATTATGGAAAAGGCAAATTAGCAAAAAAGAGACAAACTAAACGAAAGATGCAGAAATTTTTGATTTTCGATTAGTAAAATATCACAATTAACAACTTACAACAAACTGCCGATGTACAAAACAATTCTGAAACCAACTATGGGGCACAATCTCTGATTCCGACATAAAAACAATAAGGAAATGGCAAAATAAAAAGTTAAGACAAAAATGAGAAAAGTTTTTATGACGCTTGAATAATAAATAATTTATTTCAGAAGCCAATGTAATTAACTCCGTACTCTAAAGTAAATTGTTGTAATAATGTAATTCAAACAC